GCTGGCTCCAAGTGTTCTGCTTGCAGAGAATCATAAATAATATTGCAGGCACCTGGCACCTTCCTGAGAATATTCTGGTTTATACCTCGGGTTCTTCAGGAATCCAAAACGTTACATGGTCTCCATAACTTCCAGCTCTTTGTGCCTTTTGTAGATGATGTTGGCCCTCCGTGGAAGCAGGATCTTTCACCTGTGTTGTTACATAGATGGATTTTTAGAGGCTGCTGGATCTTTACCACCACAGTCTGATTGTGATTGTCTGTTTGCAGGAGAGACGGATCCAGGACAATGATGGGAGATCGGGATGGACAAGTGAGTTGCCTTACAAAGCTACAGAAACATCTTCACTTCTTACAGCCTTGGTTTCTGTAGTGTGTGTCAGACAGAACAGTAGTTAAGAATTAAGTATCTTCTTGACAACCAGATTGGCTTGTTTTCTTTAATAAGATGAAACGTAGTTCAATGACTGAGCTGTGGAGGTGGTCACATAGTGACTTGCATGGGGAAGCTGTTAAAGATACTCAAAACTTGATGGGAGACTGTTCAGGATGGCCTGCCCTGGCTGATGCTGCTGGGAGTGCGGAAGTTGGACTAGATGATCTCCATCCTAAATGATTCTGGGGTGCAGTAATGACAGCTGAGCAACTTGAAACAACTGAAGAGCCTGGTTTGGGCAGCCCTGTAAGTGATCTTTGTCTTTCAGCACTATCCAGATGAGCGCCATGGAGGACCAGACCGCCACTCACGAGATTCCCGGGAAAGCTGGGGTAGTTACGGATCCGACAGAAGGATGAGTGAAAGCAGAGGGATGCCCCCCCAGTCACGGTCAGTGCATTAAACTGAGGATCAGTTGGGATTTTGCTGCTTTCCCTTTAAAAGTCAAACACTGTGTGTGCTCTGGCTCACGTGAGAAGGATGAATTCCACTCTCCCACAGGGACGGACGGGACTGGGGAGATCACGGCCGCAAGTTTGAAGGACATCAAGATCGTTCGTGGCAGAGCAGCGTGGATGGAGGGATGATGGGGCGAGATCATGAGCGATGGCAAGGTGAGCTGCAGTTGTGCTGTGTAAAGGAGGAAAGACAGGCGCTGCCATCCATGGGGATGAAGGAAAACTTACTGCTGTGGAGTTAAAGGAAGCGTTGGAACTTTTTCAGGTGGCGGTAGAGGCAGACCTGGCCATGTGATCCATCGTGGAGGCATGTCAGGGTAAGGACTTCAGAGAGAACAGAGGGTTTTCCTTTGAAGGGGCATCTCTTCTACTTAAATTGGGTGAGCATCAGTTACCTGATTTCTTTAAATGTCGAGGACTGATGAAATGCTCCCATGGTTTTAATGTTGCTGAAGAGTGAAAGATCACACCAAGAGCTGTAAGAGAACAGCCATTCTCTCAACCTGCTATCACCAATTCCACTGAACCGTTACAATAACCATTCTATCCCCATCGTATCAAGAGTCACAGCTGCAATTAACATGTCTGAATCCCTTTCTAGGCGTGGAGGTTTCATGCAAGGTGGCAACCAAAGTCAGATGATGCACGGAGGAGGAATGCAGGGGGAAGGCTTTGCCGGCCAGGAGAGAGCAAACAGACCCAATGACCCTCGTTTCAACCGTCGCTACTGAATGTCTTTAGTTTTTAACTCAAGGTGGCAACTGAAATGAGGCTGTTCCCCAAGGTTACCATTCATAGTAACTGGTGGGCTACTCTTAAGTGTCATTTTTTTTAAGCTGCTACCATGTTATTTCACACAACCCAATGTGAACTCGTTTGTTTTGTAATGTGTTGTTCATATCCCATTTAAAATGTTTGTTAATGAAGCATTCCATTTTCCATAAATAAAAGCCAGTTTACAGGTAATTGTTTTAATAGTCCCTGGAAACCTGAATTGAGTCAGTTGTGTATTAAACCACAGGGGTTTCTTTCAAAGATGAAGCACCCAAAACTTGATTACCCTACATGAGGGAAGCAATGATCAAAGTTTGAACCTGGTGCTGCAAAACTGACTTGGAAATACACAGGACATTGTTCTCCAAGCAGCAAATGCAACTTCCCTGAGTGTAAGAAACCCTTCTGCAGGCTTCAGCCCAAATCATTCAGATGGTTTTAAATGTCTGTTAAAGGAATCAAAACCAAACAAGTGACGATAATAACTGCTGATGCCCACCTTACTCACTGCCCTTAGTGACTGCAGCTGGTGGCAGGCTCAGCAATGGAAGGACAACTTCCAGCCCAGCCCCAACCCTTCTGGTCCTTAAAATGAAACCAAGTGAAGCACAAAACCTCTATGCTGAGAAAACCAAAGTCATTACAATCAGAGGTGGACTAATCCTCCTGCCTGAGAAGCAAAGCCTGGTGTGGTGCAGCACTCAGGTTACTACAGCTAATACTAATCTCCCATCACAAACTTACCAATTCCCTTCTATTACACAGTCATCAACAAGAAGTACTGCAACTAGCAGTGGTTACTCCCAATTGTGTAACAAGTCACAGGAGCAGCTTTCACCTCACTAACGTGCTCTATGTGGCAGAGGCACTCCTTCTTCAGCTTACATCTGTTCCCTCTTGTTGGCTTGGCTTGCATCAGAGGGTGTTCAGGAGTAACAACCAGATCGGTTCAGCAGCTTCAGAGCAGGGGCTGCACTTCATGACCACTGGTGAGAGAACACAGTTATCCCAGTCCTAGGCCAGAACCAACCCAGATACAAATGGATATTCCAAAGTCTTTTATTGCAGCCCTTCCAAGGGCTGGACTCAGCCTCATCCCACAGCCAACATGGGATGGAGAGAATCACAACCCTGGAGAATGGGGACGCTATTTGACAAGGTCCTTCACGTACTTCCAGCCCTCTGCAGTGTATTCACAGGCCCTGGTGGGAGCCACGGACAAGGCAGACATCACCATCCGTACTCCTGCAGGGAGAGCAGAGCACAGTTATCCCCGGAGCATCCTTCCGGCCACATTTCCTAACCTTATTCTAGCATTGGAGATGTCTTTAAACACAGAGAGAAAGATCTAGCTCCAGCTCAGAAGCTTTCAAGCACAGAGGCCTGAATGATTCCTGGGTTAGGTTTTATTGCTCAGTAGCACTCAGGACACAGGGAAATCCCAACTTAGGACCTATGTAAGGGATAGACAATTGAACCAAAGGACTGAGCTAAGTTCCATTGTATTTCCAGCCCTGCCATGGGTGACATTGGACATGTCACAGTATTTGTGGACCGTGTTCCCTCACAATTACATGAAATCAAGTCCAAAATCAGTGTGTCAGTAGCAAAACCTGGAGCTTCCTTAGTCCCTGTGCTCCTTCCACCAAGCTAGAACATCTATTGCCTCCTTCTCCATCGTTCCATTTAGCACAGTATTGAAACAAGACTGGTATAAGTTACATCCCTCTAGGCCCTTGCTCCTTTCACAGTTGGGTGAGAAGTTATTTTACCTTTATTCCAGGAATCGGAAGGGGAAAACTCAAGTTTTGGAATGGGTGGGAGCTAGAAAGAGAGAAGAGAGAGAAAACATCAGCACTCCAGGGGTTTCCCTTATAACAGGATCCGCATCACCTTGACCTCAGGTCTCAAAGACACTCGGGTGCCTACTCTCCATGAGTCCCAAACGGGATCAGACATGAAGCTTCAAGCTGCTCATTCCCCCATTACAATGCAGGGCAAAAGGCAGGACTCCTGAAAACCCATTTCTGTGGCTGCCTCCTTGTCCCCCCCCTACATTTCAAATTTCATCCTCCTTCCATTTCAATCCTCACCAAAACATTTTCAGTGCTTCTACAGCATCACTGGAACTGCAATACCACCCCAGTGTTCTCTCCCCCTCATTACAAGGACGTGGTTGTGTGGCTGCACAGCCCTTACCTCCCAGCCTGTGTAACTTATCCACTCCTGGATGGCTGGAGGCAGCGCTGCTTGAGCTTTCCTGAAGGCTTCAGCACCTTGTGTGCCGCTGCCCAGCAGCCCCTGGTCATAGGCCACGTACACAGCACCCCCAGCCAGGCCTCCTTTGATGACAAACCTGGAGGGATCCAAAGCAGCAACAGTTCAGTTCCTGTTATAACAATCACTGTGTCTCTCAATGATAAATCTGAAGGTCACCAATACTCCAGTGGCTCTTGCTATCTTCACAGAATAATACATGGTTTGTGTTGGAAGGGACCTTAAAGCTCCTCCAGCTCCAATCCCTGCCACAGGCAGGGACCCCTTCCACTGGAGCAGCTTGCTCCAAGCCCCTGTGTCCAACCTGGTCTTGAGCACTGCCAGGGATGGGGCAGCCACAGCTTCTCTGGGCACCCTGTGCCAGCGCCTCAGCACCCTCACAGGGAGGAGCTTCTGCCTAAGAGCTCAGCTCAGTCTCCCCTCGGGCAGGTTCAAGCCATTCCCCTTGGCCTGTCCCTACAGGCCCTTGTCCAAAGCCCTTCTCCAGGTTTCCTGCAGCCCCTTTAGGTGCCGGAAGGCTGCTATAGCACATACATATATATAAAACACACAGATAGAGCCACTGAGAGAGGCAAGAGAGAGCCAACATCAAACCCATGCACTCACAAGTGTTTGCGGAAAGGGGATTTCCCCGTTCTCCATCCACCCCTCCCGTTCTCCCCCTTCCCCCGGTCCCTGTGCTCCGCGGCTGCTCCCTCAGCAGCCCAGCGCTGCCGAACCCACCGGACACACGCGGAGCCGCTGCCGGCGGAGGCCGCGGCGCCACACGGGGTCAAGGGCGCTACAAGGCCGAGCCGGGCTCCTGGACACGGGCCCGGGGGAAGGCCCCGGGCGCGGTGAGCGGCGGCTGCGGGGCGCTGCGGTGCCCGGGGCGAGGAGGGGACGCGAACCCTCAGCGCGGGGCTCTGCGAGGAACGGGAACTCACTTGAGGACGGGGACGAGCCTGGCGGCCATGACGGCGGCGGCGGGGGGCGGTGGGAGCTGGTCACGTGGCACGGGAGGCCCCGCCCTCCCTTGCGTGGCGCCATGGCAACGGGGCGGGGCCGCGCTGAGGGGGCCGCGTGAGCGGCGACCGTGCGCTGTCGCGACATGTCGGGAGCTGGGATCGCGCTGCCTCAGCCCCGCTGCTTCCTGTCGGCACCGCCGCTTGGCCCTTGTGCTGCGGAGTGAGGAGCGCCGGTTACCCCGAGGTACGGCTCGCTGCGGCGGCTGCGATCAGCGCTGGCTCTCCAGGCTTAATCCTAAGGCAATCCCCGCCGGTTCAGAGCAGGCCGCGTGTGGTGCTTTGTGCAGCTTGAAGCGAGCAGGAGGTGGGTTGAAGTGCTGCCGGCCCCCTGCTGCTGATAGGGAATGAAATGGGGATGAACAGGAGTGAAAGACATGGATGGAAATAGAAACCCATGTGCTATCAAATCACATTCTGCTTTTCACTTCAGCTTCAAGATCTATATTAGAACCTTTCAGCGATTCAGCATCACACTTGCCCCTATTTGTTCCCTGTTTATCTTCTCCAGGCCACACTCCTGCAAAGAACCCAGGCCATGCTCCTCCCTGTACCCTGGGTGAGACTGGGGATCCCATTCCCTCACTAAGCATTGGCCGCATCCTGCCGTGCTGCCCCCCCAAACAACCTCAACTGTGTGCAGAACAAGTGAGTTTTGCAGAAGACACCCCCCAGAGCTGTGCAAAACCTCCTCTGTTCACTGTATTCTGGCTGCTAAAAGGCGTGTGAAGACAGCAACCCTCACAGAGAACCAGCCTGGTTTATGGTGCTCTGCTTGGGAAGGGGATGCTGGTGGTGTCCCCAAGGTTTGGTTGTGCCTTTGGTGGGACAAATCCAGATGGAAATCCCTCACCTGTTTGCCTCCTCGGCCACCACTGTGTAACACAAGCCTGGATGAGTCTCAAAGCATGGCAGAGCACATCTGGGGGTGGTTTCTCAGCTCTGTTTGCTCTCTGTTGTAAAGTCTTGGGGGCAGCTGCAGGTAACGTTCTTTTGGACAAGAGAGGATCGGTTACTCATTTTACAGCTTTTTTATTACATTTTACTGTTCAGTTTGGATGTGTTTTTACATCAAATGCACCTATGAGAACCTGAATGCATCAATACAGAACAGTGAAGGCTTTGACTGTGAACTTAGACTTTCAGGTCCTGGTTTAAGTGAGGACCTGGTGCTGACTCCACAAGTGCGGTGTTGCACTGGGGACAGGCATTTTCCAACCCTAACTGTTCTATGACTCTAACTTGGGTGACATGGTTTGATGTGTGGTGTCCTTGCCCATGCAGGGCGTTGGAACTGGATGACCTTAAGGTCCTTTCCAACCCAAACCATGATTCTATGATTTTCAGGGTAATTCCCCCAGTCCAGTTCATTTAAGGTGCACTGAATGGCACAAGCAGTTGTCCTGGAGCAAGTGGAAGCTGAGGAAAGACTCATTGAGCAAGAAAGGAAGACAGATGAGATGATTTTGGGAGCTCTTCTGCTTCCTGCCCTCTTTGGATCCCTCCTCTTGTCCAAGAGCAGGTTTCAGTCTCTCCAGGGTTGCTCCCTCTGGACAGGGAGTTGCACTGCATGGCACAGCCAAGCCCTGCCTTTCTTAGGCACATATGAACCATTCCCAGGACTGGTGTTCCCTGCCTTCCACAGGGACACAACAGCTTTGCAGCTTCTTATCCAAGTGCAGATTGTCCCTGTCCTCACTGTCTTCCATTGCTGATAAAGGTGGCTCCCAGTGGACTCTCAGTTCTTCCCAGCTCCTCTCTGCTATGCAGGACACAAAAGGTCTTTCCATGCCTCTTGCAGGTTGGCTTCCAGCCTCAGAGGAAAGAGGTTGCACTATTTGGGCTGGAGCCCTCAGCTTCAAGGCTTCACTTTGCTCTTTACAATGTGGAGGGATATGAAGCCCATTGGAAAAGTGCTTTGTGCTGCAGCGTTCGTAATTGGGTTCCTCGCTATCTTCTGGAAAGATTCCTTTAAGCCAGGTAGGCTCAGCAAGGGGGTCATTCCAAACTGGAATGGAAGTCACAGGAGAGAAACCCTGACTGGTGGTCTCATTCCTGCCCAGAGCTGGGAGCTTCATTCCCAGAAATAAGGGGAAGCTTGAAACAAAGAGGAAGACAAAATGTTCTAACAGCATTTCTAAGGGATCCTGCTGTCTGGGGTGGGGGAATGACCTGTACTTTGCCACTTAGACCCTTCTGCTTTAGGGCTCTGCCAACAGTTAAGGGCAGCTCCTCTCCTGCTTCCTTCACTTACTTCTCTTATTCTCTTTCCCCTGTACAAGAGAGGTTGTCTGGTGCCCGTGTCCTCCTGACTGGAGCCAGTGCTGGCATTGGAGAGCAGATGGCATATCATTATGCCAGATTTGGTGCTGAAATAGTTTTGACTGCTCGGAGGGAAGCTGTGCTGCAGAAGGTAAGAGCTTCCTTCTGGGGAGGGGGGGAAGACAAAGAGACGTGCACTTGTACCAGAAAACCCCACCAACACCACCAACCAACAAAGCAGTTGTCAGTGGGATAGATTCTCCTTCAGAGCTGCTGTTGAACAAAACCAGCTTAGTTACTGGTAGTGTTTCAGCAAATAGCTAAACTATGTGTCATTACTGGCCATCCTCAGCACAGGAACTATGAAAGATGGACACTGCTAGAGCCTTGCTAGGTATTCTGGCAGAAAAAGAACTTAATGTAAAGCCTAACCCTTATTCCAGCAGAGTTCTCCTGAAGAAGACTCTCTTTTTCAGGTGAATCTTGATCCTTTTCCAAAGTAGAGTGAATCTGCATCCTGCTAAGGGTTAACTGTCTGGTTAAACAAAGTCTGGATACCAAATGAGCACTCAGTGGGCTGAATAGAGCTAGATTTAAAGTGTTTCTGTTCAGAATTGACTCTCTGACTGTGTATGATGGGGAAACCCGTGTACCTTAGAGTGTCCTTACTTCTGTTCTCCCTGCTCCCAGTCCATGGAGTTTAACCTTTGCCTGTGTGTTCTTCTTCAAGGTGATGGAGAAGTGCCTGACACTTGGAGCAAAGAAGATATTTTATATCCCTGCAGATATGTCAGACCCCTTAGAGCCTGAAAAGGTGGTTCAGTTTGCTGTCCAAAAGCTGGGTAAGCAGCTGGGCATCTCTTTGGCTTCCGATATACAGACAGTTCTCATTCCTATTGGAGCTTCCTGCTTCAGTTTCCCCATGTTCCTCGCTGGGAGGGATGCTCAGGACTGGAGGGAGTGGGGTTTGGGAGTTCCAGTCTGGGTGCAACTGTCTTTTAGCTGCTTTTCATGCTGGAGGAGAAGAGTGTGGAGAAAGGACTGGTTGGGCCTGGCCCCTTGCTTTGAGTGCTTCCCGTCCATAGGGGGCCTGGATTACCTGGTGCTGAACCACATTGGCATGACCCGTTTCCAGATGTGGGATGGAGATGTGGAGTACACCCGCTGGCTCATGCAGGTGAGGATTCCCAGCAGGAAGAGCTCACCTGGAACTGGGTGAGTCTGGCTTCTCCTGGGATGGCTTGGGGAAGCTCAAAGGCAAATTCAAGCCTGTGGCAATGGTTGAGAACAAACCTTTTCTTTCATTGGTGTTTGAAGTGGTTTCAAGGCTTTATTACTGGTTTGCTCCAGTGTTGTATGTGTGTGTGGAGAAATGTCTGGGAAGAACTTCATTTCTCTCCTTCCTTCCATCCTTCTTATCTCCCATTATCCCAGGGATTGATGAAAGCTGCTTCAGGCTCATGCTGACCTTCCCTCCAAACCCTCCTGCTTCTTCCACATCTACTTTTCCCATTCCAGGTGAATTTCTTCAGTTACGTGGCACTCGCAACAGCAGCTCTGCCCACCCTGGAGAAGAATCAAGGCTCTCTGGTGGTTGTTTCTTCCCTCACAGGTTGGTGCCTTTAACTGCCATACCATTGGTCTTGTGGACACGGTGGTTCCCAACACCTTGTGTTTCCCTGTGTCCTTCAACCCCTTTTCAAGCTGTGCATTTTATAGCAGCAAACAGGACAGTGGCTGCTCTTGTTTTCTGGAGACCTTCTTCATGGGGTAAAGGAACGTTGCTCTTTATTCACCGTGTGCCCAGATCTGCATCCTTGGCTCCTGCCCCTCACATCCAGTCCCATCCCTCCTGTGTTGCTGTCATCTCCCTACTCTAAAACCTTCTGGCTTTGGCCATCAGGAGGCTGCTGAGTGGCTGCACTGCCTGTTTGGGATGGAAAAGCAAGAGAAAGGCTTCAGTGTGCACTCCAGGGAGCTGCATCACCATACACAGCTTCAGGCTTGCCCCTGCCCTGTGCCCTGACATGCCCTGGTGTCGTGGTCCATGTGTTTGCGTGTCATGGGGAAGGAAGGCTGCAGCAGAGCAGCACACGGGGCTTTTTAGCCCAGCATGGACCTGGTTAGTGGGTAAGTTAAAAGACAATTCCTCCCTTTGTCCAGGAGGTGGCTCCTGTGCTGGGATGTGCTCCCACAACCGGCTGGAATTGCCTCAGCGCCTATTTGTGACTAGAAATAGAGGCAAACTCACCCAAACCAAACATGGGTCGATGATGCAGGATGATCCACATTCCCCCTCCATGGCACCATCCTCCTTCCTGCCAGGCTCCTGGTGTTTTCCATTCTTTCCTTTTCCTTTCCAGGGAAAATCCCCACTCCCTTCACCACTTCTTACTCTGCCACCAAGTTTGCCCTGGATGGATTCTTCAGCTCCCTGCGCCACGAGCTCTCCATGCAGAAGAAGAACATCTCAGTCACACTCTGCATCCTGGGCCTCATCGACACCGAATCAGCCTTGGAGAGCACCAGGTACGTGTGGGGAGGAGGCTGGGATGGAGCCAAACCTGCACCACAGCCACTTCATGGTGGGGTGAGCATCCATTCAGATGTGTAATGGGATGAGTTCATCTGTTGGGTGCATTGTGGGGGTTCTGTGTCCACCTTAACGTGAGCATGTGGGACACCGGGGGGTCAGTGTGCACAGGCACACCCCTGCCATGGGCTGCCTGGCTCGGGGTGATGCTCTGGCTGTTTGCTTCCAGGGGGAAGGTGTCTCTTCCTGCTTCTCCTGCTCCCGATGCGGCGCTCGCCATCATCCAGGGGGGAGCCATGCGTGTGAGGGAGGTTTTCTACCCAGGCTGGCTGCACCTCGTCTGCTGCCTCGGGGTGCTCTTCCCCTGTGACCCCATTCTACAGAGCTTCTACAGTCCTTAGGGAGGCCCAGGCTCCTCTCCCATCCCTTCAGCTCCCATTCCTGCCCTGGTGGTGGCAAAGCACCATTAGCTCTTTCCATAAGACTTTTCCTGGGCTCCCTTTAATCCTACCTCAGCCACATGGTTCTCCCAGTTCACTCCATCTTAGTCCTCCACCATCTCCCCTCTTTCAGCCTCACCTCCTCTCTGGTGTTACCACCTCCAGTCTTCTCTCAGCTCCAGCTTTAACCTCGGTTTTACAGCAGGTCCTGGAATGTCTGGGCATTCCTGGGCCATCCTCCTCCACTTCTTGGGTTTTGGGGATTCTGTGAAACTTGTTTCTTAGAATTTTCCTATCGATTTTAATTAAACTATTTTTCCTATGGGTGTTGGTGTCACACATTGGTGCTTCCAGGCTGGGACCTGGCCTCTGAGCACAGGCCCTGGGGTAGATGTCTGCTCTTGTTAAATCAGCTCTTCCTTGCTGTAAATGCCAAGATGGGTTCATGATTCCTGCACTGGAGAAAGAACATAGAGGGAATTCTTCCCTAACACATTATTCCTAGGAATACATGGCATGGCAGCTAAGAATAAGCAGGTTTTGCTTGAATCCTCCATGGATAGAAGCTCCCCCATGGACTCCTCGGTGGCTGAGAGGATGGTTATGGTGTTGCTCCTTAATCCTGAAGGAACCTTAAGGAGCTTTGAAAACCGAACAGGTTAACAGTGTCAGAATTGATTGGAATAGCTAAATACTGCTTAAACTCAGGCCTAGAGTACGGAGCTAAGGAAGAAGTTCTTCCCTATGAGGCTGCCCCATTGCTCAAGGCCAGGTTGGACACTGGTGCTTGGAGCAAGCTGCTCCAGTGGAAGGGGTCCCTATTGCAGGGGTTGGAGCTGGAGGAGCTTTAAGGTCCCTTCCAACCCAAACCAGGCTGGGATTCCACAATCCCTCCCCTATGAAAGGCTTTGGGATGCGACCGCGTTTCCCTCCCTGCAGGGCTTTGCCCAGTGTCCCCCACAGCTCCGAGCAGCTCGACCAGGACGTTCTTTACCAAGTAAAACTTTTATTAAATAAATTTAAGATCTTTTTTTTTGTTTTTTGACCAGAGTTAAGGAATTTGACACTGACGAAGCTTTAGCGCAACATCGTCCAGTCCCACCAGTAACTGCGAGGGAAGAAACGCTCTTTGAAAGCCGCTTGGCCCGGGATGGCCCAAAAAAGTCCTTTTTATTCCCCACTTTTGCACTTGTTGGTCCTTTTTTCTTTTTTTTTTTTTTGTGTGTGTGTGTGTATTTTTTTCTCTTTTTTTTCTTTTTCCTTTTTTTTTCTTTTTTTCTTTTGTTCAAAATTAGATTCAGTTTAAACCTCAGGAAATTCCTTGTAGCAGAAATAAAGTCCATTGTACAAATCACGTCCGGAATAGATGTTAAGTATAAAAATGGTATTTACAATCAGTAAACATGGACTAGAGGAACAGGAGCCTCGCAGGGCCCCACTCAGCTCTCGAGGGAGAGGTGAGGGTCCAAACAGTGCCACAAACACAAGGGCAGCTGGAAGGGGATGACTCGAGGGTCTCTGATGTCCCCATAGCGCACTTCAGCATCAAGCATCACCCCTTCTCCCCCCCCACCCCAGCCCACCCCCTGAACAGACACACGCACACACACACACACACACACACACACAGGAATGTTCTCAGTACCTTATCAAACTAGAACAGTGAAGCTAATCATTCCCAAGGTTGGGATTGTTGGTTTTTCTTGCCTTAGTTTGGTCGAAACAGAACGAGAGTGGTTGAAGTTGGTCCAGGGTTTGGGCCTTGTCCATTGTGACACCCCCTTTCCCCAGGGGTGGGCAGTCCAGCTCCAAGCTGTTGGGTCTGTGGATGTCGCTGTTTCTATGGGATCTGTCCCTGGAGGGAGAAACCAGGATGGGAACAGCCCCGTGTGGCTGCTCGGGAAGGTGCAAGAGGAGAGGCCTCTGGCTAAATCCACACGGAGAAACTGTCCTGGGGTGCCTGGAATCGGAACTGTCCCGGTTCCATCCACACAGGGAGGCAGCGGGTTTGGATCCTGTCCCTGCCTCCTCTTGCCTTGCTCAAGAGAGCCACGACCAGTTCCTGCAGGACAAGGGCCTGTGTTCCTGTGCTCACAGCCTACCCCAGGAGCATCGGGAAAGGCTTTGGCACCAAATCCCAGGAGCTTTGTCTGCAGCAGCCCTTGGAAAGGTCAGAGCTCTCGAGATCCTCTAACCAGGCTGGTGCTAAGGTCGGTGGATGAGCGACTCAAGCCGAGCAGCGGTGCCCTAATCCCCGAGGTATGTGTGTAGTTCTCTTCCTCCTTGCTTCTTGCTGAGCAGAGACATCCCCGCTCCATGTCCATCCAAACAGCCTCCCAAAGGAGGAGCAGCGCTGGCGGAGGAGACCCCCGCAAAGGCAAGCCCTGAACATCCAATCCCTCGTGCAAGGAGTCAGTCTCTGAATGGAAAAGTTTGGTCCTGTGAGCCACTTTCATCAAAAATAGAGGCTGTATATATATATATTTCTATTTCTCTGGGAAAGGGGCCGGGAGATGGGGCAGGAGGGATGAGGGACGCTTGGTCCATGTTCTCCAGGCCCACCCCGAGAGGAAAAGCTTCGTGTCCCCCCTGGGGGCTGCCGGGTTTCTGGTCCCTTTGCTCTGCACCACGGGAGCAGCAAATGTGCGAGTCCGTCGTGGCAAGAATCTTCCTGCTGGGCAGACTTTGAGCCTTCTCTTTAATGGCAAAGGTTTGGGGAGGAGGACGGGGAGGTGGGAGCAGAGGAGGGAAAGGGGCTGGTGGCAAAAGAGTTGAGAAAGTTACTGGCCTCTCTGTAAAGCAACCTGAAGCAGAAATTCTTCCTCTGGACTTTTCCCTTCACCTGAAGAGAAAGGGAAAGAGGGAATGGGGACATTAGGAGGACACTGAGGCAAAGCTCAGGCTTAACCATGGAGTGAGGAGACCCCAAGCAGAGGGGCCCAGGATGGAGCAGCTCCACTCTGAAGCAGCCTTTGATGGCCCCCGTAGGGTCTCGCCTTCCCTTTGCCTTCCTAGGATCCTTCTGGATCACAGGATCCTCCTTTCTTACCCTGGAAAGCATCTTCTGCAGCCTCAGGGCATGTGTACAATGAAGCAAAACCACTGGGGAAGATGAGTGCTTTGGGGAGCGGTCAGAAAGGAGACCAAAGCATCCCTAGGACCACAGACACCTCATCTGGACCCGTCTGCCTCCCACCCAGCCTTGATGGCCTCGACCAGCCCCACCTGCAGCTCCTGGGTTGCCACATTCAGCTCTATGGGGGAGCAGCAGGCCCTCGCTGCCCCCAGCACTGGGTTGATGCTACACCACGAGGGTGCTTCACGCAGCGTTACCTGTGCTGCAGAAGTGCCTCCTGCGTGCTCGCTGCCGTCAGTAGGGATGGGTGGCATCCTTGGGTCGTTTCAACTGCACCTTCAAGCGTTTCATGCCTATCTGGAAGCCATTCATGGCCTGGATCGCAGTCTGGGCACTGGATGGGTTGTCAAAGCTGACAAAGCCTGCGGGACAGGACAGACGTGGGGACAGTGACAGCATTGCTGGTGCCGTGAGGGTCCTCCTCGTCCTCGGTGGCGTCAGCACTCACCAAAACACTTGCTCTGGTTGGTGGCACGATCCATGAACACCTTGGAGGAGATGATGTTGCCAAAGGGCAGGAACATCTGCATCAGCTCATTGTCTCCAAACTCCTGAGGGAGATGGTAGATGAAGAGGTTGCAGCCTTCAGGACCTGCAGGCATTGGGGGGGGGGGGCAACAGGGAGGGACAAAACAGAGACCCCCCCCCATAGGGAAAGACTCAACTCAGAGCACAGCACTGGAGGAGAACCCCAGCACTGCCTCTCACAGCCCTGCCCACAGCGATGAAGTCCGAGTTGGATGTTCTGATGCTCTCCAACCCCTTGGTGCTTGGCAGCATCCAGCTCAGGAAGGTTTCGCATCACGAGCATCCTCTGAGCCCTTCCCTCGACAGAGACAGGGCTGGTTCCATGACCCAGCTCCAGGATTAGAGTGGATAAAGCTTAGTGCTGGGGCTGTGGTTTGTGCTACACAAACCCCCCCATCATGGACACATGAGCCCCACTCACCCTCTCGCTGCTGCTGCTGCAGGACGGGAGGTGGCTGAGGGATGCTCTGGGCGATGGGGGTGACGGTGGTGGTCGGGTACACGGCTGCAGACACAACAAACCCCTCACCTGAGGACCTGCTCCAGCAGGAGAGGGCCTGAGGGGGGCAAGGGAGGCCGGTACCTGCGTACTGCTGGACTCCTGTGAAGGCCGGGTGCAGGGTCTCTGCTACCGAAGGGTTCTGGGCTGCAGAGAACAGGGAGACACAGAACCATGGAATGGGCTGGGGTGAAGGGAGCTTAAAGCTCCTCCAGCTCCAACTGGAGGGACCCCTTCCACTGGAGCAGCTCCAAGCCCCTGTGTCCAACCTGGCCTTGAGCACTGCCAGGGATGGGGCAGCCACAGCTTCTCTGGGCACCCTGTGCCAGCGCCTCAGCACCCTCACAGGGAAGAGCTTCTGCCTAAGAGCTCAGCTCAGTCTCCCCTCGGGCAGGTTCAAGCCATTCCCCTTGCCCTGTCCCTACAGGCCCTTGTCCCAAGCCCCTCTCCAGGTTTCCTGCAGCCCCTTTAGGCACTGGAGCTGCTCTGAGGTCTCCCCTTCAGGAGCCTTCTCTCCCCCAGCCTGGCTCTGTTCCTGATGTACCTGAGTAGGGCACGAGGCCGTTGGTGTAAACCGTTTCCAAGGCCGGGTGCCCATTTGGGAATGGCACCACTCCAGTGAATCCATTGGAAATGGGGGCCACCAGCCCGGGCATGGCTGCTGTTCCCAGGAGCGGCGGTGAATGGAGCCCTGCAGAGCAAGAAGAGGACATCCCATGGGAGCTGAGCTCCCTCCTTCCATGAAGCCATCGTCCCCTCTAGGTGGAGGTGACACAGACACATGGAGCCATCATGGGCAGCACTGGTGAGGAGCGGGGATCATCCTGGCTGCTGGCACAGCTTGGGGATGGGATGGTTCTAACCCAGGTTTTGAGTGCTACAGCCCTGGACAACCCAACGGGCATCCCCTTGCTGCTGGTAGGGGGGGGGATGAGGGTGAACACCAGTAACCCCAGCAGCTCCTTCGTCGCTCTAAGAAGGGCGAGCTACAGCAGCAGCGCACAAGGATGCTGAACACATTGGGGGCCAAGGGGCTGCTGGACCAGAGCGGCCTCATCCACCCCGAGGGATGTGGGGGGCCTTGGGACCCCGGTGCTGA